CCTTCCTTCCTTCCTTCCTTCCTTCCTTCCTTCCTTCCTTCCTTCCTGCCCTCCCATGACTTGTCCATGGTCACAGAGTAAGTTTCAGAAGTAGTATTTGAACTTAGGTCTTTCTGATTCCAAGATTAGCTCTAAACCTATGACCTCCAACTCTTAACATCCTGTGAAGCTTTAATTTGCCTAATGTACTATCCAGAGATCAGAAGAACCCTAGCCAATAGAACAAGAGATCTGGTGCCAGGCTTGCCCCATGCAGTAAAGTCTCCAACAAATCAGCCCCGTCCCGAGCTTAGGAGGAGAATCTTGGAACCCCAGAACTATAGCATGTTAGGGCTAGAAGGGGCCATATCTCTCTTCCATGGTTATGGAATCTAGAGTTGGAAGGCACCACAGAGAATAGCTTGTCTATCTTCTGCATTTTACAGATGAGACAGATAATTGAGATTCAGAAAGTGGAAGAGACTTATCCAACCAAGGTTGCTCAGCTAGTAAGTGTCAGGACAGGATTCTAACCCAGGTCCCTATGACTCCATGTTCATCACTCTTTCCCCTCTTTGAGAAGAAATAGGTTGAGGTGGGGGATGGGGGAGGGCATGGGAGGGAAAGAAAGGAAATACCTGTTCACTGAAAAAAAAATTTTAAAGATAAGAAAAAGAGGAAAAACTAACTAGCAAGCATAAATTATATTTATGTCACCACAGAAATTAATATGTAGAAAATGAGAAAGTATTAAAATGTCCAAATTCACCAGTAGCCAAACCCATCACCAAGGTGCCCATTGGGCTGCCCGAGGAGATATCTGACTCTGCTTCCCACCAGCTCAAGCAGCCTCCCTGGGGCTGAGCCAGGGGTGGAGGGTAGGTGGGGGTGGGATGGCAGAGAGATATAAGACAAGGTAGATGAAACCAGGAGTGAAATAGATGTTGCTTCTTCTAACCCTGGTTCTGCTCTGTGCCCTGCAGTTCTGAGAACAGCATCAATGCAGCCATAAAGAGAAGTCTAAGAAGTTTTGAGGAAAGGAAACCGAGGCAGGAGAAACTCAACTAGACATGAGTAAACCAAGTGAGTTTATTTCTATAAAAAGCCTTTATCAGTAACTACAGATTGGGTGGGTAACGTAACTGGACCAGTTATTTCTCAAATATATTTGTCCCTGAAGCTTCTGTGGCTTGAAATAAGTTAGGGGAATCCATAAATGTTATTTTGGGGGGTTTAGAGGTTGTGATGTGGAGTGTCCTACCGAAATGAAAGAGGATTTGGGAAACTTTGGAGGGATAAGAGAAGAAATTAAGACTTTTCATTCTGAAAAAAAAATCTGCTTGTAATTCATTCATTAATTCATTCAACAAACATTTTTCAAACATCACATTAGTAGTCTTAAGCTGAACCTTAGGCCAGAGGCTCCCTTCTGATGACACGAAGGGCCTAGGAACATGTTAGAGACCTCCCCCTTATCTGGTTCCCTGACGCCAACCAAATGAAACCTGGGAACATCAGGGTCTGGAACTCTACCAAAGGGGATAGCAATTTCCCTCACAAGGGTCAAAACATACAACAGTGTTATTTACACACTAAAAGACACAGAAAGGAGTCAGAATCTAAACCCAACAGCATTGCTTCCTGTGCCTCCCATCTGCAGTTAATCACCCTCCCTCCTGTGACCTACCTGTGCAGTCCCCATAACTTATAGTATTATCCCAGATGGGGCCCAGGAAGGGGAAAGGTCAGAGTTCACACCTCCACTTATCAGTGCTCTCTACTATTCTTTGTCTTTGCTGGTGACCTGCTCTCTGGTCCTGTTAATTTTTCATTAGTTCTGTCCAATACCTAGTAGGTGTGAATTCTTCTCAGTGTTGGCCTCAGGCAGATAGGGCAGACTCTTGAGCAGCTGCTGGCTGCTGAGGGATTACACCAGGATTGGATGCTAAGGCTCTTCTTTGACCCCAAGGCATCAATTGCTTCCGCCTAGTTAGGTCTCCCTACAGAAGGTGTCATTTTTACACCTGGGTCCCATGGCCCAACCCACTGAAGAGGTCTTTTCAAGTGGTTGTGGGAATGCATCTTTCTTTTTTTCTTGAGCTGGATCACAAATAGCTTACAAGCTATTCTTTGCTCCCTCTTGTACCCCCCAACCAAGTCTTAGGGTTCAAGGAGGCGCTCTTGCTCCCTTTCCATTTGCTTTGCTACAAAAATCTTTGAGATACTTCAGGAAAATGTTCATGTAAATCTTTCCAGGTTCTGAGAATGCTCATCATTTCTTATAGTACAATAATATTCCATCACAATCATGTAACACAACTTGTTCAGCCCAGTGGATGGGCATTCCCTCAATGTCCAATTTTTTGCCATCACAAAAAGTGCTGCTATAAATATTTTTATACATATAGGTCCTTTTCCATTTTGTTTTTTATCTCTTTGGGAAACAGACCCAGTAGTGGTTTTGCTGGATCAAAGGGTATGCATAGTTTTATAGCCCTTTGGGCACAGTTCCAAATTGCTCTCCAGAATGGTTGAATCAGTTCATAACTCCACTGACAGTACATTAGTGTCTCAATTTTCCTACATCTTTTCTGTCATATTAGATAATCTGATAAGTGTGAGGTGGCACTTCAGAGTTGTTTTAATTCTCATTTCTCTAATCAATAGTGATTTAGAGCATTTTTTCACATAACTATAGATAGCTTTGATTACTTTGTCTGAAAACTACCTGTTCATATCCTTTGACCATTTGTCAGTTGGGGAGTGACTCTTTTTTTTTTTTTATAAATTTGACTCAGTTCTCTATATATTTGAGAAATGAGACCTTTATCAAAGAAACTTGTTGTAATAATTCTTTTCTGTTAAGACTGCTGTGTTTTTCTCTCCATCCTATTTCCCCCCTATTTATCCTACTCTCTCTCCTTTCACCCTGTCCACCTTAAAAGTGCTTTGCTTCTGACTGCTGCCTCCCCCAATCCACTCCCAACCCTTCTCTTATCCCCTTCCCCTCCTACTTTCCTGTAGGGTAAGATAGATTTCTATACCTGAGTGTGTATGTTATTCCCTCTTTAAGCCAATTCCAGTGACAGTAAGGTTCAAATGTTTCTCCTTCACCTTTGCCTCCACTGTAAAAGCTCTTTTGCACCTCTTTTATGTGAAATAATTTACCCCATTCTACCTCTCCCTTTCCCCTTCTCTAAGTGCTTTCCTCTTTCTCATTCCTTTTTTCTTTGATAACATCCCATCATAGTCAGCTCACACCCATGCCCTTTGTCTATGTATGCCTGTGAAACCCAGACAGTATACCAGCACCATGCCAGGAAATGGAATGGCTTCCATTTGAATTGTCTTAGGAAGATTCTGAAGATCACCTGGCAGGATAAGATACCAGACACTGAGATCCTGTCTTGAACTAAACTGCCAGGCATTCAGACTCTACTGCAGAGAATGCATCTTCGATGGTTTGGCCATGTTGTTCAAATGTCAAACGTATGCTTGCCTAAAAGACTATTTTATGGGGAACTCACACAGGGCAAGTGCTCACATGGTGATCAGAAGAAGTGATACAAAGACACTCTTAAAGTCTCTGTTAGGAACTTTGGAATTGATTGTGTGACATGGGAGACACTGGCAAAGAAATGCTTAGCATGGTGTGCCCACATCAGAGAAGGTGCTGTGCTCTATGAGCAAAGCAGAATTGAAGTAGCTCAAAAGAAACTCAAGATGTACAGATTTAAAGAATCCACCCCAAATGTTCACGTAGACTATTTGAGCCTTGCAAGCTCATATCGGTCTGATCAGCCACAGTCAGACACATTGTAACTTGACTCTAACATAGTGATGTCACATTGGTCCTCTTCAAGAAAGAAGGACAACAATCCACCTTCTAACTGCTTAATAATGATAAAGTTATTAGAAGTTACATGTATCATCTTCCCATGTAGGCATGTAAACAGTTTTACCTTATTGAATCCCTTATGATTTCTCTTTCATGTTTACCTTATTCTGCTTCTCCTGAGTCTTGTATTTGAAAATCAAATTTTCTAGTCTACTCTGGTCTTTTTGTTTAGAATGCTTGAAAGTCCTCTATTTCATCGAATATCCATTTTTTCCTCCTGAAGGATTATAATATATTTACTTATTTTCCTCCAATTGCATGTAATTTTTTTAACATTTTAACAATTTTTAACATTTGTTTTTCAAAATGTTGAGTTCCAAATTCTCTCCTTCCCTCTCACTGAGAAGGCAAACAATTTGATATAGGTTGTACATGTGCAGTCATGCAAAACATATTTCCATATTAGTTACATCGTGAAAGAAAACACAGAACAAAAAAAAACTAAGAAAAATAAAGTTTTTAAAAAAGGTATGCTTTGATCTACATTCAGACTCCATCAGTTCTCTCTGTGGTGGTGGATAACATTTTTTAATCATGTGTCTTTCAGGATTGTCTCGGATCATTGTATTGTTGAAAACAGTTAAGTCCTTCACAGTTGATCATTGTACTATATTTCTGTTACTATGTACAATATTCTTTTGGTTCTGCTCATTTTATAGTAACTTTTCTGTGGTCAGGATCCTTTTTTGTAGTTTGCTCATTTTCCAACTTATTTCTTGACTTTTAACTTTATATTAAAGCTAGGCTGTGCTCCCTGTGTTAAGTGGGCATTGTCCCAAGCTTCAAGTTTTTTAGGCAGCTAGTTCTAGGGGTCTGTAAGTTTTCAGTTCTTCTAAGGTATTTGCTACTCTCTTGGCCTGTACTCTGGTCTGTGAGCAATCCCAAGCACTCTTTTCTGCCCTGGAACCATTACCAGCGATCCTGCTCCTGTGTGGCCATAAGTTCTGGTGTGCTAGTGCTCCATCTTGCCCTAGGACTTACCCAGGACTGGGACCTAGATCCGTGTATGGGCAATGCAACAGAGTCCTGCAGCCAGTACCAGCAAAGGGACCCCTGTATTCTTCTTCTGACCAGTTGTCCAACCCCCTTATTATCTGTGGGCTGAGAGCTCCAGAGCCACTGTTGCTGATTCAGTTGCCCTCAAGGCCTGTTGCTGTCTTGTTGGGGGCAAGCCTGCTCTGGCCTGAGCTCCATTCTCACTCTGGTCGGACAGACCTTTCCTGCCAACCTCAGTTGTCTTGGGCTGGAAGATTGTTTCACCCTGTCCATTTGTGGGTTCTGACACTCCAGAATTCACTTCCAGGCCTTATTGAGAGTTCTTTGGAGGGAAATTTGGGAGCTTTCTCTCTTGTCATTTTGGATTTGTCTTCTCCATTCACCATTTCTGTGACTCCCAAGATTAGAAAAGCCTTCCTTGGCCACCACTCCCACATATATGTTGTCTTTTCCTATTAAAACGTAAGCTACCTGAAGGCAGGGATTGTCTCACTTTTGTATTTGTATACCTGGTATCTTGCACTGATCTGGCCCATAGTTGGTGTTTAATAATACTTTTTCATTCATTCATTCATATACAATCTAATCACATCTAATCTAAACATAATCTAATACAATCTAAAATCACATGAGCTTTTTGGTCGCCATTTCATAGCTGAAGGAGGTGAGCTCCCAGAAAGTGGGAAACAGAGCCAGGTGTTTCCATGGGTACTTCAGGAATGAGTGTAGTTACTTACGAATTTTGAAAAGGAAGAAAGATTGGAAAGTGTTGACCACTTATCTAATTCTCTTCATGGAGGGTAGGATCATTTATGTTGAGCTTGTTGTCTATTAGAACGCTGGAGCCTTTTCATATGGACTGTTGACCAGACACACTTGCTTTGTTCTATACTGATGGAGTTGATTTTTTGAACCAAAGTGTGAAATTTTTTCAAATACACCTGTGATCTTATCCATTTGGATGTTCCCTCCAATGATGCAGATAGCAACTTATGCGTGCCTACCAATTCTCTGTGAATCTTTTTCTTATTCTCCCAGAAGTTCAACAGACAAGACCTTGCTCAATTTCTCAAGGATACCAATAAAATACTTGGGCTGTCCTGTTGTCCCTTGTCCTCAATATATGACCAGCCCATCTTTTCTAATCATATATTTCCCTGACAACATTGTCTATTCTTGTTCTTCTCTG